ATAATTTTATGAATAATTTGAAACAACATTTGTCCGACAAAATAAAGGGTTTGGTCTACGATGTCCCCCACCTCAAACATGTAGCAATTACGTTGCATAAAAAATGATTAATAACAAGTTGATTTTTTCAATGTAGGTTGGTAAATATTATTACAATTAAATGGTCACACTGTCCTACAAATAAACAGGTAGCTATTTTCAGTCCTACACTCAAAAGTTGTCGATTTCACGATTTAACTTTTTTCATTAATAACCGGCTAAATCTTCGTGAGTATCTTCATTTTGATAAGACGCCCAAATTTTCTGTTGCGAAAATTCCAAAAACAGGTAGCTAACAGAGTGCGCAGGTGGAAAACATGTCTATTTGGTGATCATACAAATGTAAATAATAACAGTTAATTTTGTAGCTCAATGTTGAGATAGTTTCATAAATAATATGAAACAACATTTGTCCGACAAAATAAATGGTTTGATCTAGGCTCTCTCCCTTCTCAAACATGTAGCAGATACGTTACATAAAAAATGATTTATAACCAGTTGATTTTTTTAATGTAGCTTAGTAAATATTACTACAATTAAATAGTTACACTGTCCTACAAATAAAGAGGTACATTTCTCCAGTCCTACACTCAAAAGTTGTCGACTTCACGGTAATACTTTATTCATCAATCACCGGACACCGGCTTAATCTTCTCGAGCATCTTCGTATTGATAATACGCCTAACTTTTCTATTGCGAAAAGTTGCAAAAGTAGTAGCTACTAGAGTGAGCACTAGTGAGCACATATAAAATACCTTGATTAGGTGATTATGCAAATGTAATTATTAACAGTTAACAGTTAATTTTTCAGGTGAATAATGAGATAATTTTATAAATAATTCGAAATTCGATTTGAGTCACAAAATAAATGGTTTGGTCTGCAGTGTCCCCTTTCTCAAAAATGTAGCAATTACTGGCTCATAAAAAACGATATATAACCAGTTGATTTTTTTACTGTAGTTTGGTAAATATAACTACAATTGAATGGTCACATTGTCCTAAAGAGGTAAGATTTCTCAGCCCTACATTCGAGAATTTCGAAAATAGCCTTATGCATATTATAATAATAATAATAATAATAATAATAATAATAATAATAATTGAGGGGATGCGTTAATTTGTTGTTGACGTGTTCCGGCGATTTCCCGAAATCTGTCTCTTTAGGCAGATAACGTGGGTGGCAAATTTCGAAATGAAAGCCCCTGTATGTACATATGTACGTATACAGATGCGTGTATAACAGTATATGTGTTATGTGTATGTACACATACCTACATTTTTGTCGATGGTTTCCATTCGCATCGACGCGCATGCTCGTAAATAACACAGTGGGCGCGTTTGGGTTCACGCTCGGTGCGCTCAGAGCTTGCACTTTTGTCTCTCTTCCGTTATTTTTGAAGCTCCGACAACGCTTGATTGTGTTTGGTTTGACTTATTTTGAGCGCTCAGAGCGAGCTCGATAAACTCCGAGTTTGTGGAGTGGGCAGCTGGAGGGTGCATGCGCAGATATGTGTTTAATCTGTTTAGTATAACCTAACCTATTTTCCATGACATGATAACATAAATAAACAATCCTGAATTTCAACATTTATTTGTTAGCTGCATAGTTTTAGCTATTTTGTTTAAATGTTAAGAATTATACAGAATACATTCTGCATAATTGTGTACTTTTAATCAAATTTTCTCGGTATTAGTCCTCATCACTGGTATTATTGAACATATATTTCCAAGGGAACTTGGCAGCCTCAGTGGTTAGGTCCATTATTGTTTATGTAGCACAACATTTCTAGCAGAACACAAAAGAAAATGGGGCAAACGAGAAAACTCAGTGGAAAACTCTGGTGCAAATGCGGAATACGGACTCGGACTCAAAAAGACATATCCTAAAAAAAATAAACAATAATCAGCTGATCGCTCAACCCAGCACTTTTGCAGGAGTTTATTTGGCTTGACACGGTGTACTCCTTGGGACGTCACGCTACTCGGTAATCGCTCTGCTCGCTCCGCCGAGCTTCAACCCAAACACGCCCAGTATCGTAGTATAGGGTGATTCAAAAAGCGCGCCAGATTTGAATTGCTCGAAAAAGAGTTTTGGTATGCCATCAAAGTAGAGGGGGCCATGCCCTTTGTCATTTTCCATACCCAGATGGAGAAGGTTTGATCCAACCGGTTCATCTTAATTCTAAAGATATTTAAAAAAAAATAGAGCTCCTTTTTTAATGTATTAAATCTGGCGCGCTTTTTTGCTGTATATGGGGTGAATACAGGGTGTTTTCTAAGTTAGAGTTTCTCTTTTTAAATAACGTGGAACTCAAAAAAATACATTTGGGAAACTCCCAAATAATATTTTCTCGACAGCTCAAAAATAAAAGAGATAGATAGGTATGTTCATTTCAAATAATATCAAAAATCAAATATTTTAATAATTATATTTTTCAAAATACAAAAGGTAAAATTCTTGAATTTAATCTTTTTTTCCAGAAATCTGTCTCTTTACGCAGATATCGTGGGTGGTAAGTTTTGAAATGAAAGCCCTGTACATATTTACGTATAATATGCATAAGGCTATTTTCGAAATTCTCGAATGTAGGGCTGAGAAATCTTACCTCTTTAGGACAATCAGGCCTATGATGTATCCTGTCCTGTTATTTTAACAGTTGTGTTATAGCTCAAAATCTATACCTGTTTCTAATTTTACGTGTAAAATAAACAGTGATAGATAACTTAACGTTGCTGTTAAGATAACAGAAAATGATACATCATAGGCCTGAATGTGACCATTCAATTGTAGTTATATTTACCAAACTACAGTAAAAAAATCAACTGGTTATAAATCGTTTTTTATGAGCCCGTAATTGCTACATTTTTGGGAAAGGGGACACTGAAGACCAAACCATTTATTTTGTGGCTCAAATCGAATTTCGAATTATTTATAAAATTATCTCATTATTCACCTGAAAAATTAACTGTTAACTGTTAATAATTACATTTGCATAATCACCTAATCAAGGTATTTTATATGTGCTCACTAGTGCTCACTCTAGTAGCTACTACTTTTGCAACTTTTCGCAATAGAAAAGTTAGGCGTATTATCAATACGAAGATGCTCGAGAAGATTAAGCCGGTGTCCGGTGATTGATGAATAAAGTATTACCGTGAAGTCGACAACTTTTGAGTGTAGGACTGGAGAAATGTACCTCTTTATTTGTAGGACAGTGTAACCATTTAATTGTAGTAATATTTACTAAGCTACATTAAAAAAATCAACTGGTTATAAATCATTTTTTATGTAACGTATCTGCTACATGTTTGAGAAGGGAGAGAGCCTAGATCAAACCATTTATTTTGTCGGACAAATGTTGTTTCATATTATTTATGAAACTATCTCAACATTCAGCTACAAAATTAACTGTTATTATTTACATTTGTATGATCACCAAATAGACATGTTTTCCACCTGCGCACTCTGTTAGCTACCTGTTTTTGGAATTTTCGCAACAGAAAATTTGGGCGTCTTATCAAAATGAAGATACTCACGAAGATTTAGCCGGTTATTAATGAAAAAAGTTAAATCGTGAAATCGACAACTTTTGAGTGTAGGACTGAAAATAGCTACCTGTTTATTTGTAGGACAGTGTGACCATTTAATTGTAATAATATTTACCAACCTACATTGAAAAAATCAACTTGTTATTAATCATTTTTTATGCAACGTAATTGCTACATGTTTGAGGGGGGGGACATCGTAGACCAAACCCTTTATTTTGTCGGACAAATGTTGTTTCAAATTATTCATAAAATTATCTCAACATTTAGCTGAAAAACTAACTGTTATTAATTAAATTTTCATAGTCACCAAATCGACATGTTTTACACCTGCGCAGTATGTTAGCTACCTGTTTTCGCAATTTTCGAAGAGAAAAAAGTTGGGCGTCTCGGTGAAATGAAGCTGCATTGAAAAAACTAGCTTGTTATTAATGATTTGGAAAAAAGGTCCTCGGCCCCCGGACTAGATGTTCCTGAGATCAAAGAAACCTTTATAACCCTCAAAAACAAAAATTCCTCGGGCTATGATGACATAGGTATCCATTAAGCTATTACTCTTTTTGTGATGAAGCTTTCAAAGAATTTTGAAATTAAATTTGATAATGCATATGGCTTTGATATGGGTAGTAGTTGATGAGGATGAAGGGGATTGTTGAACTTTTTGGAATAAACCTGAAAGATCCAGCCAGCGAGAATCAAGTTGAGTTCAATTCCTATAGCAGTTCTTTGAAAGTAGTTATTTGCATTGTGAAATTAGATATGCAAAATCTGCATAATTGTGAGGTCAGAGCAATTCCATTTCCTATGAACTTTGATTTCTAGAGAACTAAAAATGTCTTAAGTTTAATATTAAGAAAATCTCTGACTGGACTGCAGCACTTCTTTGTTAGAATGAAACAATTTCTTGATGTTGGACAAAACAGCATAGAATATAGTAATCATGCATTTTGAAGTTGAAGCAGATGATCCCAGTCCACCATGCCCAAGTTTCCATTCTTAATCTATAGTCAGCATTCCTGAAATCGTAGTAGAAATAATCTGGTTCTGGTTGAGGGCCTCGAGTATTTTGTTGTTAGGGATATCCATAAAGAAATGACGAATAATAATAGACGAAACTCTCTACTCATTTCACTCTCAAAGATGGTGGTATAAGTTATTAGAACAAGATTGAGTACCACAGCATTATCCACCTTGTATTGGTTGCTTAAAGGTGTATGTGCAATATGAAGAAACACTAAATTTCTATTCAAGGGTTTTGTAGCTATAATAAGAATTATGGCTTCACCTGCTATCAATTGTTTATATGTTTTTATAATGAGACTTTATTATTGAAAAAAAAAATGTCACTTCTATAAAATCTAAATTCATTTTTTTCATTGCCTATGTGTCTGATATATTGTCTTCTATAATTTCAGGTTTTAAAACTAATACTCTAAATAAATCAAAATTCACAGCGTCATCTGAAACCAATACATCTCACTCGACCACAGCATCTGCAGCAACATCCCAAAGTGTGCCTAACCAAGGCCAGGCACACCAACAGCAGCCGCAACACGCCTTCCAGTCATACGCCGGACTCAAGTCGACCAATCAGGGTTCGATACCATCTAGCGGCACTTCGGCAGCACTAGACGCTCTAAAAAACACAAGTGGGGTGCCTGGCAGCGCCTTCAACTTTGGCTCGGGCCCTCTTGGCATGCCGCCCGATTCCTATCCGAATCTGCTGGAAGACTTTCGAGGCACGTCGAACTATTTCATGGGCGGCGCCAATGGCAAACCTGGCCAATCGACCGCCCAAAGTTACCATCCGCCGCCGTTCCTTAATCCGGCGGCTGCACATCAAGGCAGAGGGGCGGCGTATCCGCCTTTAGGCGGTCCATTTATGGACAGCGCTGGGACACAGTTGTACCAGCACTATTTGCAAGCGGGGGTGCTGAATCAAGGACTGTTGGGGGCGGCAGCGGCCGCTGCTGGCGGGTACGCGCCGCCCTCGTACCATGCAGCTGCCGCGCTGGCAATGCGGCAACCGTACGACTCAATGTCGCGACCGTCGTGGCTCTAGTACAACCGGTTCGTTAATTAGGAATAAATTTAAGCATAAATTTTAAACAAAAACGTTAGCGTGATTAGTAGATACCAGCTTGGTTGGTTGGTTAATGTGTTAATTTTGCAAAATGTTACTTTATACTTTAATTTTATAAACTGCATTTTATTTATTAACTGATCGCTCGTGGTTTGTACGGGGTGTTTGAGCAACAACGTCGATTGTTTTTCATTAGTGTAAAAGAATAATTTTTTATTGTACATACAGGCTGACAAAGAGTTATAAATATTCGACATCCCAGTTGGGTCCATAAGACCTTAAAACAAGCATTGACCATTTTGTCATAATAAAGTTTTATTTTTGATTATCATGAGTAATTTTTCTTTTTAGTAATTTAAATGATGTTTATAAGCTTTGTTCCAACGCAGCAGGAAACTGTACAATGCACCTGAATCTGAAAGTGTACTGAGTAGTTCATGGGATGGTTTTTTGACGTGTTGGAACAGACCTAATGACTGAGAGTTGGTGACAAAGAATCTGTTTATTCTGGTAATGAACATTTGTTTATACTTTGTGGTGAAAAAAAATCCAGAAAAAAATGTCAAAATTCTTGCTTTGATGTTTTAACCAATCAGTCGTTCACAGCGCTAATTTTTTTTATTTTTGAAAATGAATAATTATGTTAGTGGGAAATAGATAACGACTGGTAATGAGATTTTAGGCAAAGCCCTAAAGAGACTTATTATAGGGAGAGGAAAAAACGATATGAAAATACACAGTTGCAATAAAATAGAGCGTGATAGAAATATTAGTTCGCATATTTGCCGCCTTTTAATTCTCGCTGGTCGCACAATACTTGTTTGGAAATTCTTATTTGTCTAGTTTGATTCCAGGTAATAGTGTATTACAGTACCGAATCTGTGGATTTGGTAATGTTAAATAGACTGTTCCTCTATAAATTGAAATAATTTAATGGATGTTGTGCCATATTCCAGTGTATAATAAAAATTGTTTTAAAGGTGACGAGGCTCTTAAACACCCCCAACACAGTGGTGCTGTTATTTTTCAATACCTAGTGCAAAATCAAAAAATTAAACTTTATTTTTTATTTGTTTTTTTTTTGTGTATTTTACCAAAGACATTGTTGTCGCACTGTGTAAATAAAATAATTGAATATATACATAGATTTTATAGTTTAATTTTTATTACAGATCAATTGTGTAATATTATTTCATGTTATTGTTGTATTTTTATTAGTACATTTTCTCTCTATTTAACTTTATACATTATATATATTTTTTTAAATTGTTTTAAGGTTTTCGGCTGACATAAATGTACAAAATCAAATAATTTTTTGGTTGGCATCTTCTATATCAACTTAAGTGATGTATTGGCTAGACAAATTTTATCCCGAAGTAGAGAAATATTATTACCTATAATAGACGAAAAAAATTAATTTTACATTATATTGTGTACATAATAATAAATAAATTTTATTATTATATTGTATTGATATTTCTGTGTTTTATTGGACAAAATTGATGGGCATATCCTATTTTTAGAGAATAATTTTTATTGGTTTTAAAATCGGTAGGGGATGATATCAAAAAATTCAATGAATTGAATTTTTTTATTAGTTTTCTCAAGATTTAATTCAATTCAACTTGGAGCAAAATATGTAATGCGATCTCTAAGCACCAGCACGGCTTTCAAAATAAACGACTGCAACGAACTTGATATCTTATTTGTACTCCTGAGCTAAAAGTTTTGATCAGGGCAAACAAGTAGACGTGATCTATTTGGATATTGAGAAGGTGTTTTCCTCAGAGTTCAGTAGGTAGGTACTTGGACCGTTGTTATTCTTGGTTTAGCAGCAGAGATACAAGATCATCAACGGGCCACTTTTACATTTTTCAAAAACATATTTAAATTATTCTTTTAGTCATTCTAATACTATCTGTATACTTTTTTTCTGAAAAAAAAACGCTTATTTTTGAAAAAAAAATAATTTAGAAATCGGATTTTTAAACTGGCGCGAAAACACGAACTTGGTTTATGACGTCACAAACCAGAGAATCAACAAAAACGCGAGGATGCCAAATTTCTCATTAGTAAATCATTACACATTTCACTAGCTAGAAACTATTTTCGTCCTTTACTACATTATAAAAAAATAGAGGATAGGTATAATCCTTATTAACTCATTTAAATTTCGCATTTCTACATGTGGCAACAAAAACGTCAAAATCGGCTTTAGCCAATCAGAGGGCATTTTCAATCCCGTGATTTTTCTTTTGAATTTTTAGTTTTTATTTATTAATTTACATATTTAATAATCTGACTAAAATCTTGCAAAATATTGTTCATTCTCGGTTGCATTGATGTATCTGTGTCAAAAAATATCATAATTTGCCATATTCCCGGCAAGTGAAAGTGGCCCATTCCTCTGAGGACCCATTCTATTGGACTTTGTGCTGATCACACAGAACTACAGTCTATTTTTCCCAAGATAGATTTTGACATTGTCAACTTTGAAACATAAACAATGCTGCTTATTGGTCGCAAGATGCCATTTGTATACGGCATGCATTGTAAAACTCATGTCAACCTGCAGGGACACCTCATTTTGCGACCAATCAGGGCCAAGAGGTATTGTTTATGTTTCAAAGTTGACAATGTCAAAATCTATCTTGGGGAAAAAATAGACTATATAATTACCTATGCAAACTCCGACACAAATTATGAAGATATTGAAAAAATAGAACTGTGGTGAGACAAATGGAGGATGAAACTAGTGAAAAAAAGTGTAGGAATGTACACTTCTTGTATGGGTTCTAATTATTGTGTGAAGTTACCTTACACACCATAAATAATGTAGTTTGCAGTTTTAAACTAAACTGGTGGACAGTTGCTTTGCAACATGAAAAATTTTACCCAAATTCAAATCTGGATATTTTCGGAACGGAAAGAGATATCGAGTTGCGGTATTCGGGAGATTCTTCAACAACTCTTTGAGAACACGTACAGGGTTCGACTGGTATATTTATTTCATTTATCCACTTATACAGGGGGAGCAAAGGAAGTCATGTTTTTTTTAGTAAAGTTTGGGGCTATGTCAGATTCTCAATTTTTAATCTTGGAAATTTTTCTATGCAACTTTTTGATCTTTGGACTATCCTAAAAATAGTATATTGTTGTATTAGAAGTAGAAGCTTCACTTTTTTGTGCTGAAGCGGTAGGTTTGCAATACTGCTGAAGCACAAAAAAGTGCTTCTACTCCGTATGCAACACGCTATTTTTTCTCCAAACGAATGGGGTAAGCTCGGGGGCAAGTAAATAGTTGAGCGGCAGTAAAAGCACGAGCGGCACTAAAATTACTTTTACTGCCGCTGGGGTTGCCAAGCAGCATAGAAATTAAATTTCTACCACCTCGACAGGTGTTAACCCGCTGGATTCGCCTAGCAGCATAGAAATCAAATTTCTGACATCTTGACAGGGGTTAACAAAGTGACGTTTTTCTGACGTTTGGAGAAAAAAGTAAATTCTCAAATTTTTGCCGAAAGTTGGCTATATATAACTCAAATTAACGAATTTTTAAAAAAGGGTTACATTTATCCCTAAAAAAGGGAGTTTTTCGGGGTTTCTCTTGAGAATGGGTATTTTTTTTATTCTGTTACATGAAGTGGAATTTCTTACGCACTCATTGAACATTATTGCCTTCAGTGGTGTGCAGAAAAAAATTTCTTCTCCGACTTTATGTAATTTAAACCGAATTTTTCAATTCTACTATGCAATTAATCAGCCAACTTAATGAACAAATCCAAGTTACTACTTTAGATACAGGGGTGTATTCCAGTGGCATAACATCAAGACCATTTTTTGGTTTGGTAACAAGTGCTAATAACCTAAAAATTGTTATTTTTCGAAATGATATGATGCTGACCTACACTAGCTGCTTACGAACATTACATTTTCAGACCTAACTTCAAGAAAAAAAAACCGAGTTGCACGTGCGATTTGACACAACTAAGTTAGAATCTTACCTCCCTTCTTATGCCTGCTAAGACACCCGTATTGTCGGCTAAGATATCTAAGCTGACATTTTGACAAAGGGTCCTTCTTTGGAAAACTTTCCGCAATAAATGTATTTCGGCTTGACCTCGTTTTTTTTTTTTTTTTGTCATGGGGTATTGTCTGTCGATTTTAATCTGATAGATACTCCAAAAAAATGTGAGCTGGTGGCTCCCTACATTAAAACATTAGAACGCCAATGGTCACCTGACGTCACACCTGTTTTTGTCGTATGCTTCACCCCCTCGCCCCTCATACGGAAAGTGTCAGATTAAAAACGACGGACAATACCTTTTTTTTTTAATCATGAAATTGACGTGTCTCCTGAGAAGTAATGGAGACCGACTTATACACAATAGTCAGTGTTGTAAGAGATAGCGTTATTGCTGCTCGATACACTTGTAGAGACCTTTTAAGGCGCGCGTCCACTAGGCGGATCGGGCCGGAGCGGATCGTATCGTAAAAATCCGTCTGCCATAGATTCAAATGGAATTGCGTCCCGTGAAAATCCGTAAACAATGAACGCAGTTTCATTTGAATCATGGTAAACGGATTTTTCGTTGCGATTCGCCTCGACGCGATCCGCCTAATGTACGCGAACCTACCTCAGAACTACTCAGAAGTTCATTACTTTTTAGGAGACACGTCAATTGACCTTTTGTTTGGACGCCATATTGCGATGCGCGAACATAGTTGCCAAAAGTAGAAGAGAAAAAGTTTCTAGCGTACTGTCAACATTGAAAACATAAGTTACTGAATAAATTACATTTGAAATTTAAATTTGCCGCCTATTACGAATGTTTTTGAAAAGAAAAGCCATCAATTTTAGCTTGTATTTAGCAGAATACCTAGAAATAATAAAATATCTACCTATTTACTTTCATCAATCAGAGAGAGAAAGTAAACGAATGAAAAGGATAGCGAGGATCAATCATTTAGTTACTTTTGTTTTTAATGTCGACATCCCGCTAGTAATTTTTGTTTTCTTCTTTTGGCAACTATGTTCGCGCACCGCAATATGGGGTCCAAGCCAATGAACTATAGCTAAAAACTGGAATGCGCACACATTGCCATATCTGCCAAAAAAATGAAGCCATGAAAGACAGATGCCACAAGGGGGAATGTTGTTTTTTTCTGTTGCTCGCTGTCATATGACGTTTTCGAAAGTTTTGTCATATTTCCCTTCACAGGTATCCCCTCCGCAGCAGCTGCACTAGGCTTCACGTTCGTCCTTATGTGTTAGCATTCCAGTTTTTGGTTATAGTTCATTGGTCTAAGCAAAAGGTCAATTGCATGATTGAAAAAAATAAATAATAAGTACCCTAGCAGTGTTGGCCAGCATCATAGTACGAAGGCGCTGAGCTGCCATCGTAAAGATTTTTGTAACATAATTTACACTCCTATCTGTAAATGTTTTGTTGTATCTGTAAATTTACACTTCTATCTATAAATTTACACCTGTATCTGTCAATTTACATTTCTATCTGTAAATTTACACTTATATTTGTAAATTTACACTGTTTAAACAGACATTACCAAACTTACCGATAATAACCCGGTTAGTTTGCAATTTTAATCAGACATCACCAGATTCACCTACAATAACCTGGGCTGGAACTCTGTAACGGATAGAGATCATTATCCCTATCGCTATGGCATTTGCTGTCTTCTTCTCTCTTCTCGAAGTCAATAGAGATAGAGAAAATATATTTATTTGTTACAAAGTTCCAGCCCTGGTTAGTTTGGATTAGTTTGCAATTTGCAAGTTTAGTAACGTTTTTTTCTATTTAATCTTATTGAGATATTACGAAACTTAGCGATAATAACCCGGTTAGTTTGCAATTTTTATCAGACATTTCCAAACTTAGCAATACTAACTAGGTTCGTTTGGGTTACTTTGTAATTTGAATCAGACATCAACAAACTTATCGAATGTAATACCACAAGAGGTTTCATTGGTTTCAGGATTACCGGATAATACTTTTACCTGTCACGAAACGCATTACGCAGCAACACCACGACTCCGAAGGAGGAGTGGTGTTGCTGGTAACGCGTTGAGTGTCAGGTAAAAGTATTAGGTAATCCTGAAACATCGATTGGTATTCAAAAGGTTATACAACGAACTAAACTTTAATACACCTAGCGCGATAATCCCAAAAGGCTTATCACTTTTTAAGCCTCTCGTATAATATGGGAATCATGTACAGTGAGTTGTATAACTTTAATGCACCAAGCGCAGGGGCGTAGTCACCGGTGTTCCGCGTGTTCCCCGGAACACGGGACCGGTAGCTCAAGGGGTCCGGTTCCACATGTCAATATATATATTTTTTTTCTATCAAGCAAAAAAATAATACATTTGAAGCTAATTTATATAAAAATAAAAATCATGTGTAGCATCGTACGCGTGTTAAGAAGTGAACCTTCTTAAAAACTACTCCCTCCCT